TGCTTAGACTGTGTCGTGGGGAAAACTGCACTCTGGATCAAAATATTGAGTAACTTTGCTAATAAATTATCACTATTTAATAATCTCTAAAACTTGAGCGACAATCAGATGATAGGAGGAATTGCTGGCTGAAAACCAAGTCGGCAACATGAACTTTTGAATTTATTTTGAGGCTAATATACACTCACCTAAAGGATTATTAGGAACAACTGTTCAATTTCTCATTTATGCAATTATCTAATCAACCAATCACGTGGCAGTTGCTTCAAAGCATTTAGGTGTGTGGTCCTGGTCTAGACAATCTCCTGAACTGAATGTCAGAATGGGAAAGAAAGGAGATTTAAGTAATTTTGAGCGTGGCATGGTTGTTGGTGCCAGACGGGTCACAATCTGACAAACGTCATCTAACCGAAGTTAAAGGGTGCCCTAAAACGGCGGATGTTGACGTATGGTCAAAAGACGTCAGTTATATGACGTCTTGGGAAGAGACTGCGCTGCGTCTACATATTAATCTTGCTAAATGATGAATAAAATCTGCTCGACTGTAGAACTAAGTACTAAAGATGACACAATGCTCTCTGAATGTAGGATTGGTCCGATGGTGTAATTACTCCTGCTGAATTATGATGCCGTTTTGACCTGCTTTCCCTCTACAGTTGTATTGCTGTCTCATCGAGCCATTTGAAATTCCTCTCCGTATGGCCAAGCGGACTGCAAATTTACAGTTTCCACAACATATCTCTAAACTTGACGATTTCATCTGTAACCCCGGAGGTTAACTGGCCTTGGTCGGAGCAGCTTGCCAGTGCCAAACTCCTGGGTTTGGCTGTAATAATTTAAACATAGGTTATGGAGTAAAGCTAATACGTTCCAAATGGGCGTCCTGCAACTTCTCATTTTTGTGATGTTTACACAGCTTTGCTGGTCCTGAGTAACGAGGCTGTGGCTCAATGAGATCTGAGGGCAGTCTTCTTAAACGCCACTGATGGCGAGACACTTTACACTGCTATGAAAAGGCTACACATGCACTGTAAGAATTTACACTAAGTTTCTGGCCACTGATGAAACTTACAGTAATTCACTGTAATAGCTCTATGGTTGTTTACTTTTTTTTTACAGTAATTTGTTGAGAAAACATCTGGCTTTATAGTAAAATCAAACTAATAAAATAATGAATCAAATAATGCATAAATAAATAATAAAACAAATTTAAAAAATAAATATCTCAACAAAAATGTAATTTTTTTTACAGTTATTTATTGAGAAAACAACAAATGATTTGGCCTTATAGTAAAATCAAACTGGAAATAAAATAATAAATAAATAATCACATCAATAAATAAATAATAAAATAAATAAATATAAAATAAATAGTAATTTTTAAGTAATTTGTTGAGAAATCTGGCCGTATAGTAAAATCAAACTAAATAAAAATAATTACTAAACAAATACATAAAACAACATTAATAAATATTAAAACAACATAAATTAATAAGCTTTACAATAATTTTATGGTTATTTCTTTTTTACAGTAATTTGTTGAAAAAAAAAACAACAAAAGATATGACCTTATAGTACAATAAAGTAATAAATATACATACGAAAATAGTGTAAAACAGTCATTTCTTGAGAAGAGTCAATTAATAAAAACAAATTCTTATTAATTGACTGACTGACTGATTGATTGATTGATTGATTGATTGATTGTAGAATCAAATAGGCCATTTATTTTTCTCTCAATCACTCAAATCACAGTAAAAATAAAAAAGTGCACATAAATTTGAAATTATTAATCATTATCTTAATTAATCAGATAAATCTTCCTTCATATCTTGACTAAATGTCATGTTGACATGTTTTGACTATGAAATGTCTGGACCTGTGAGGTTCTCATAGCTGCTGGTTGAAGCATGACGAAGACGACCATTAGCAGAGACTACAAATGCAGACACATTAATGGCCACAAATATCCAGTGTGGCCATATAGATTACAGGCATACCGCTTTTTATAGCACAGTAGAACCCTTTACAAAAATGCAGCATGATAACCACAGTTTCCCTCAGAATACCACAGGTAGTCCAGTTATGATTTATTACATTAAAACTATGGTAACCGCTGTCATCAAAGAAGTCAAAATGAAAGAAAATCTTACTCTGTTTGAAGTATATCCCATATTAATTATAGTTTTACAAGGTTAACTGTAGTAACTGTGGTATTTTGGCAAGAACTATGGTTACCATGGTCAGTTTTTGTAACGGGCAAAAAGATCTCTAAAATATAAGGAAGACCCAAAAATTTAAACTCACCTCCATTTCATTACCACACCAAATTATTTTATTTCCTCTGTGAAACACAAAATCACAGGTTAGGTCTTCCAAAAAGTCATACGCATTTGGAAAAGCATAAAATGATTAAACATTTTTTTTTTTTTCTGGGTCAAAATCCCTTCAATCTCAGTGAACATCACATGTTCTATCAAACAATGCCCTAATTTATGCATGAAATGATGGAGATGCACGATAAGTTACATTTTTTTCTTTTAAATAGAGCGTTTTTTTCAGCGTTTTCGAACGAACCTCTGGAAGGAATGATTCAATAACAAAAACATTTTTTAAAAGTAACTTGAAATCAATCTTTATTTGAAACGCCATGTTACATTCAACACTTGATTTGCACTGATTTGATCGCTACCTTAGACATCAGTGATTTCATCTGAACTTTTAGCCCAGTGCTTCTGTGATAATATGAATATTTTTAGCCTAGTCCGTCTGTGATAATATGAATATTTGTAACACAGGAGTAACGAAACTGTTTGGTTAAAAATAAGCTGTTTCATACCTATGAAAACTGCTCTCTCTTTGAATGGAGAATGCAATCCTTTAACCAATAATCGTGCAGCTCTAGTGCCGGCTCTTATTGTAAAACACATTAAATCGACTTCATGTACTACAGAACAAATTACAAATTAGCTGATCTGATTTGCCCTGAGCTCGGAGGTTCCTAATATGGGCATTTAAAAGTGCAGGTCTGCATGTTTTTTTCTGAGGTTGACTTGGCATGCTCATGTTGTGGTCTAGTGGCTGCCAACCTAAATATTCACACTCTGGCACCCTCATACCACCGTCTCTCTCTGCTTAGCTTGCAACGTCAAAACTTTTTTGAACATTGTTTTTACTTCCTCTGGCTATGTGAGCGCTGGACGGTGTTGCGGTTTCAATGAGCAAATTTCAGCTGTGTTGTCATGCCGGTCTTTTCTTCGTTCACTGCTAATGTGCCACATTACGAAAATGCATGAGCAGGTGCTTGTGTTTGTACACATAAGTTAATGTGGATGTAGGTTCAGTCCAAGTTCAGATGTTAGAGCTGACCGTTGCAGCGATCTGCTCTAGAAATTTGCATTTGCAAGGTAATTTCAATCCCACTGTGTTGCTGTGGATAAAATCCTAAGCTACTGTACATAAATAAATGTAAAATATAAATAAGTAAATTAGATGTTTACATTTTCAGATGCATACTTGTCCCTACCTCAAAACAGGCACGAGAGCTGCGCTAGTACTTTTCTATTCAATCTGATTAGATGTTTTTCTGGTGGATAAAGCGGGCAAAAAATCCCATAGACTCACAATGAAGGAAAACCAGAGTCATATGTAGAGATGAAAAGACTTGGGTCAGTAAGTGACCACTTAAAATACCATAGAAACGCCCTAGTAACCAGCCAAAATACTAGAAACAGCATAGCAACACTCAAGGAAAGACCAAGTCATGTCTTGAGACTGTCTTGGGCCAGTAAGTAGCCACTTAAAACACCATAGCAACCAGCCCAAATAACACAACCACCACCAAGCAACGCCCTAGTGACCAGCCAAAACAATCTAGCAACCACATAGCAACACTGAAAGAGAGACCAAGTCAAAAGCAATTCTACAGACTTGCACATCAAACGGTCTTGGGGCAGTAAGTAACCACTTAAAACACCCTAGCAACCATCAAAAACAACATTACAACCACCAAGCAACACCGTAGTAACCAGCCAAAACAAACTCCATAGCAACACTGAAGAAGAGACCGTCATATCTTGAGACCAGAATATCATACACTCTTGGGCCAGTACGTAACCACCTAAAACACCCTAGTAACCATCCAAAACAGCATAGCAACCACCCTAGTAACCATCCAAAACACTAGCAACTGGATAGATGCAAAATGCTAAAAAAAACAGTCTATGCTGATAATCACCATAGTATTATGATAAGTTTTGCACCAAGTTTTTTTTAAGACAAGAAAAAAAAATACTAAATCATATCATTTAAATGACAAAACAATAACTTAAGTTCCCAAAGCATAATCGTTTTATAACAGTACTTTGATGCGAAATATAATACAAATACTAATAATGATAATAAAACATTTAGCTGCCATATGCAGTTCTAAAGGGTCATGTAAAGCACCTCAAATCATAAATACAATAAAAATCATGTTAACTTCAAATTTTCTGCCACTGTTTACCCTAAAGAGCCTGTTGTTGTTAAGCTAGAGCAATCTCTCTAAAGTGCACGTGACATCACTCCATGTCAGCCAATCAGACCAACCAGCTGTACATTTCCCATGCCTGTACCACTATCATAATTTCCTCACGTCATTGTTTTGCAACATGCCGTTTCTATGACAACGCAGCAGCAGAACCCGTAACAATGTCAGGATGACACGATCAGGTCAGCGGGTACAGTGGCGCAAGGCTCGGGAACCCTCGTTGCACTGGCATTCCCAGGAACGCCAGCGGCCCATCCTTGCTCTGAGAACGGCAGCTCTATTTCTGCAGCGTGACAAAGATGTGCCCTTCCACACCCACGACGCCCAGACAGTCCACAACACAAGGAGGCACCTTTCCTCCTTCACAGAGCCACCAATGACAGCATGACATTGACTCAGAATTTGTGCTCTGCATTTCACCTATCCAAGTGCACACACACAGACGCACACAAACACCGTGAACACACACCTGGAGCAGTGGGAAGCCAGTTTTTGCTGCAGCGCCCGGGGAGCGATTGTGGGTTAGGTGCCTTGCTCAAGGGCACCTCAGTTGTGGGTAATGAGAGTGAGTGGAAGAGAGCGCTGTTCATTCAATCCCCCCACATACATCTCCTGCCAGTGCTGAGACTCGAACCCACCACCTTCGGGTTACTCTCTAACCATTAGGCCACAACAGCCCCAAAAGGATGAGAAGAAGAAAAATATGAGTACATTCAACCATCATCATCATTATCTTTCCATTGACAAAACAGAAATAATTTATTATTTAATATATATATATATATATATATATATAAATGAAATATATATATATATATATATATATATATATATATATATATATATATATATATATATATAATGAAATATATATATATATATATATATATGAAGAGTTCAGATGCAAAAGCCTCTAAATGCCATTTGAAATTTTCTTCGTTAATGATGATTTTTTATCAAACTTGTATATTTAAGTTCAGTAATTTCACTTAAATAACAATTAATAGGTAATTATCATTGCCATTTAAGTAAAATCACTGAACTTAAATATACAAGCTTGATAAAAAATTATCAGTCTAGAAGAAAATTTCAAATGGCACTTAGAGGCTTTTGCATCTGAACTCTTCATATGTTATATATGTATATAAATATATTTATATATGTATATAAATATATATAACTTGATTATATATAAATATATAATATATATAACTTAATATATATATATATATATATATATATATATATATATCAAGTTCAGGCCAAAATGTAGTTTACATCAAAATGTAAAAAAATATATAACTTGATTATTTACTTGATTAAGAAAAGCATGGAAATAAGGAGTTAAAGTTACCCATTAAGTGAAGAATTGACAGCTTACATCTGAACCATCTTTAGAAAAGTTGATATATCACACAATACTAAGAGTGAATCAAAACAACTAATACCACAACACATCACAGAATGCAAGAAATACATTGCAAACACTTAATAATTATTGCTTTCAAACAACAGAATATTGACATTTAGCATGCACTGTATACTGGAGGATCACAGTACAGAGAACAACAAGATAAGTTGAAGAAATAACATCAGAAACACTAATCACATTACTAATACTTACTGCTGTTGGTTTCCCTCCAAAATGATGTCACTTCCTGGAGAATGATGTCATGGGGAACTGGTCTTTTGTTAAAGGGGCATTGGCAATGCAGTGCTGTTTATGAGCAATAAATAGAGATATTACCAATAAGATAGAAAGTGATTTTGTTGACACATGGGGGACGTGGGTGGGTGGGGGGGGGGGGGGTACTACACTCTTAGAAGAAATGGTTCCATCCCCCGCTTTATATATGGAATTTTTTGGTAAAAGGTTCTATTGGCCAAGTACAGAACCCCAGGGTTCTATATAGAACCCAGAGGAACCCTTTTTTTAAGAGTGTATTGAACCTTTTAGGGGTTCCAAATATATAGCGCTGATAGAACCTTTTATGGTTCTATATAGAACCTTTTCTTCTAAGAGTGTATACAATATTATCAATTAAAGGTAGGGTAGGTAAAGTTTTTCATAAACACTTTTTTATAGCCAACTGGTTGAAACTCTCTTCACATCCTGATAGCAATCAATCATAGATGTGGTCTAAATTTTTAAAAAAAAATACGTATCTTAGATCTTAAATGTAAAAATCTTCCGTGGAAGTCTCAGAACCAAAAAATAAAAAATAAAAAATCATCCAATCATTGCATTCGCTTGTTATTGCCAGCCTCTTGAAATTGCAAATCTTCTCAAGTAAACACATTAAGTTTGAAATATTTTGATTAGAGAAAGAAATTAAAACTAAATGAATGCTTACCTGTGTTTTTTTTTTTTTTTTGTGTTTTTTTGCAGGTGAAGTGTATCTCATTTAACACTATAGTGGCATCAAATGGGATTCTGTATTCACTTGGTCATCATTTTAAAAGTCGTTATCAGAGTGTCGTTATTTTTAAGCTCATTACGTTTACAGTTCTGTTTGATGGAACTTGAATTTACACGCTTACTTTTACACCTGTTATTGTTTTATTTAGTTAGCATGCCATAAAATGCTGCCTCCACATGCAGTTCACTAGATTTTGGCACACGAAAACATCTTTCGAATATCCGACAGAACCCATTTTAGTGACATATTGCAGATAAACAAACATTTTTAAGATGACATCTTCCAGAGGAACTCACACACACACACACACACAGAACAGACGTTTTGGCAATGAGTGTGTGTTATCAGGGCCTGAGCACATTCCAAACTAACACCCCCTACAGTATCTGAACTTCTGAAAATGACAAACATCACACTCTAAAAAATGCTGGGTTGTTTTAACCCAACTTTGGGTCAAATATGGACTAACCCAGCCGTTGGGTTAAATTTTTACATTACATTTTTAACCCAACATTTCGGGTTTGTCCATATTTGACCCAAAATTGGGTTAAAACAACCCAGCATTTTTTAGAGTGCACATTGCAGCGCTTTCCTAATGCATTTTGACTTGGTGTATGAGTTAATTTTTAAATGGATGTTTGGCAGCACTTTCCAGAGCGTGTGAAATGACAGCGAGAGTCTGGAGAGGTTGACCGCATCTCTGCTGACATAATAATGTGGGACTCAAAGAAATGTCCTCTCAGTGAAAGCAAACCAGTTTCATGTGCATTATCATTATGCTGTCTGTCTGTAGAAAGCCGTTTTTTTCCTTTTAGAACACACAGAGAGGATAATTGCATGGTTGAGTTAACGTTAATGAGCTCTGGCGGGCAGTCTAATGGACAAAAAGCAGGGAATAAAAAACAATAATAAATAATCTCTTTTTTTAAGGAAATGTGCATGGTGCATGACTGTGAAACGCCTGGTTGGTTGCCTTGACATTGCTAGGCGGTTACATTACAGGCCCACCCCTAAGATGAGTTGCATTTTGAAGTTTAATAGTTCAGGCGGGGGGTTTATTCAGCCCTGGGAAGGGTCAGAGACATGGCAAGCTCTTGCTTCTTATCTCGGCGTGCTGTTGGGAGTTTCACAGCTGGGCATTGCTGCTGCCGCTGTCATTTCCGTCTCATTTCAGCCCAGGATATTACTCACAGCGTCAACACACTGAAGGGGAAAATGGAGATCACCCTGTGTGTGCGGGATGACTGACACCTGCCTGAAGGGGCGGGGCTTCCCGGAGTAAGGAAGAAACAGGAAGTCATTTCTGATCAGCATATTCACTCTATTCTTAACCTTTTAGGCCCTATCTTGCATCCGGCACAAATGACTTGTACACTGACGCATGTATCATTCCTATTTGGCACCCGCGTAAAGCGGGCTTGTCCCTCCGCAGACGCATGCCGGTAAACTAGGAAATTAACGTGCGCTCCCTGGGCGGGTCAATGCAAAAAGGAGACGTGTTTCGGCGCAAACATTCCCTAGTGCTATTTTACAGTTACAGTAAAAAGATTATAAATGTAACCCCTTACTCTTACCCCTTCCCCTCGGTTTTGCACGTTTATGTGAGGGGAAGTGGTGTCCCAATTCTCATTTTGATTAAGGGCTAGGGCCAAGCCCTTGAAACAAAGTTTGCGGAGGACCACGCTTGAAAGAGAGGGGTAACAAAAGTGCCGGCATCAAGTTTTTTATAATGGCTGAACGTCGAACTGTTAAAGGAGTAGTTCACTTTTGAAAAAACTTTTGCTGATAATTTACTCACCCCCATGTCATCCAAGATGTCCATGTCATTCTTTCTTCAGTCGAAAAGAAATGAAGGTTTTTGATGAAAACATTCCAGGATTTTTCTCCATATAATGGACTTCAGTGGGAACCAAACGGTTCAAGGTCCAAAAGACAGTTTCAGTGCAAACTGCAAACTTGTTCAAAGGGCTTTAAATGATTCCAGACGATGAATAAGGGTCTTATCAAGCGAAACGATCGCTCGTTTTATAAATAAATAACAAAGTTTAAGTTTTATAAGCTCAAACGCTCGCCTTGCTCTGTTCTGTAACGCAATCCTGTTCGAACTCATTCATCAAAATGAACAAATCTTTTTCCGAGTCATTTGGTTTATTCGGCAAAAGAAACGAACAAATTGATTCAGAAAAAGATTAGTTCATTTTGTTGAACGAGTTCGAACAGGAGAGTCACGAACGTGCACCACAGAACAGAGCAAGGCGAGCGTTTGATCTTATAAAACTTAAACTTTGTTATTTTTTTAAAAAAAAAAAGAGCAATCGTTTCACTTAAAAAGACCTTTATTTATCGTCTGGAATCGTTTAAAGCCCTTTGAACAAGTTTGCAGTTTGCACTGAAACTGTCTTTTGGACCTTGAACCATTTGGTTCCCATTGAAGTCCATTATATGGATAAAAATCCTGGAATGTTTTCATCAAAAACCTTAATTTCGTTTTCGACTGAAGAAAGAAAGACATGGACATCTTGGATGACATGGGGGTGAGTAAATTATCAGCAATTTTTTTTTTTTTTTTAAAGTGAACTACTCCTTTAAGTAGTAAATTCTATTAGCACAAAGTTTTGTCCTTGTTTGAAGCAAACGAAACATCCCCCCATCTTGACACTATTTCAATCAAACGTCCAAAGCACAAATCCATCAACACAGACATTTCAGACTTCAGGATGCTGACGTATGGATTAACGGTTGCACAAACACCTCTTCCCTTAAGGAACCTGACGCAGTGTATGGGTACGCTCTGACATTCCTTTACCCACAATGCATTTCCAATACAGTGATCAATGGGACACGGTTACTAAGGGCTACCGCTCCGTCGAGCGTAAGCAATGTGTAAGTTCCCATAAATAAGGGATTTGGGGCTCCTTCCTCATGGAAACGGTTCTCAGTGACCTTTCAGACAATGGCAGACAGGGCAGTAAACGGGCAGCCAAAGCTTTAGAGGACTGGAGAAGAGTTATGGCTAGGAAGGGCTTGTTTCCCATAATAAACCAGATCCACAGTCTAGAGGGACCGTAGTACGAACCAGCCCCCCTCCTTCACTCTCACATTCAAGAACGTCCCTCCACTGCAACTACAGCTGATCTGGAGAAAGTACAACCTGAATATTATGATCAGTAATACTTTAGTTGGATTTTGAGCAATGCAATTTGAGCATAACACAACCAATCATGACGCAGTTTATTGGTCGTATTAACTACAGTTTAAAAGCTATTAATTAACTAAAAACTGATAAATGATCTGTAAATATTGTATTATTGTATTAAGTGTTACTGATATTTTTCACAACCCCCCCCCCCAAAAAAAATAAAATAAATAAAAATAAAATTAAAATAAATTGACACCCCCAACAAGTAACATCATTTAAATTCTTAATACAACATAGTGAAGAAAAAAGTATATAATATCATTCCATTGTTGTTGTAGTGTTGACGGCATTTGTCAAGCTCCATTACTCAGTCATGTAATACAAGCTTTTATAATATGACTTATAAGTCAAATAAGTAGATGGATAGAAAGTACCAAGATTAAGTAAATCATGGTTTTAAACTGTGAACCTAAAATGTTGCTACCGTTTCTTTAACAGGAAAACTCTGGTAATCGCAGCTGCCAGTTTTTACAGTGCAAAGTTATTAATTATTAACCAATTATTAACAATTAACAAATTATAATTGTTTAATTAGCTCATATAAAGAGTTTGGATAATGCTTTGTTAGCAACTTAGTAACCTATCCACAAGCATAACCACTTAATAACATAATGTTATCGATATGAAATACATACAAATACTCATTAGGTCACGTTGTTAAAAAATAATAGGTAGGGTTAGGGGACATAATGTACAAGTTTGTACAGTAAAAAAAAAACATTGTGTGTGTTTAATGTATTTGTAAATGTTTTAAGGAACAAATGAGTTGAATATGTTGGTTAAAAACACTTTAATTAATGACAATTTCTCATTTTCTGTGACCTAATCTAAAGTGAGGACTATATACAGTTAATAAGTTGCAAATAAAGCATTATATCTAACTCTTTATATGAGCTAATTAAAGTGACAATGAATGCAGAACTCCCTTTTTGTATAACTACAGTTGATAACTATAAATGATTTAAAAGTGATTTGTTACTGTATTATAAAGCGTTACCAAAATGTCCATTAGTGCGCTCTTCATTGCAGCGCTAGGATAAAATCATTAGCGTTAAACTCAATCCGACTGCCAAGTTTGTGTAAATGTAGTGCAGCAGGAGTGGATGATCTATATTTGGCTCCTTTTCTCAAGTGTTTATTTGTCTCATAATTCCATTCATCATGAAAAAGCAAAACCTGAGATGAGATGTGTCAGAGTGGATTTAAAGAGCTTAAGACATTGTTGCTCTAACAGAAACCTCAGAGAACTGAAGCTACACGGCAACCCGGAAAAAATTCATTCCAGCTGTCACTTGGCTGGAACATCACAAAAGCAGCAGCTGAGGATAAAACACCAGCGACTCATGGCTTCAATTAGAATCGATTCCAAATCAAGCTTGTTAAAAAAGGCAACAATACAAATCATTCCAAGCACCTTCTCCAGCTCTTCCCTCTGCACAGAACAAAGCTTCCCTTTGGACTTCTGTTGTGCATGTGGATCATGTAGGCGTTGAACACACACCTGCACTGACGCGAACGCTTCTCCACATCCGGTTTGAAGAGTCCTGGGGTTTTATTGTGCATGTCCTGGTGGGGAATGAGGAAAAAGAAAATGGGTGTTTAGGTAGAAACAAGCCAGGCTGAACGCTCTCTATTCTTGCATTTGATGCTCTTGCGTAAGAACTGTCAGGGTGGCAAGTAACCGTGTAATGTAACGAGTCAATCACTCAATGCATTAAAAATTAAATATGTTCCCACACAAATACTGTCATCGAATTGCAAAAAAATAAAAAATAAAACAACAACAACTCCACATTTGCACGCCATTGGTTGAGCTGATTCTCAAATCTGTCAGTACATGGTGCATTTACTATCATCAAAGTGACTGTTGTTATAATGAATATATCAACATGCAATCAATAAAAGGAGAGAGATGGAAAAATCTCAGTTTAGTTGAAGAGTAATGGAGAGCACACACACCTTTTACAAGGAGGAAACACTTTGCAAGCTGTGCTGATCTCACTGCCAAGAGCACACAACATATGACCTATACATATTCTTTGAGAAAAATCTCAACTGAGAGAAATCACCTTCATCAGTAATACAGGGACCGCAATTATTAATATATAATATATATAATTAGGGCTGTGCAAAAATTAATTGCGATTAATCGCATCCAAAATAAAAGTCTGTGTTTACATAATATATTTGTGTGTGCTGTATATAATTATTTTGTATATATAAATACACACACATGCATGTATATATTTAAGAAAACGTGTTATTCATATATAAAATATTTATATTTATATAATATAGATTTTGTATTTATATATATATACAAAATTTAAGTGCAAATAATTCTTAAATAAATACATGCATGCATATGTATTTTTATATACAAAATAATTATACACAGCACACACAAATATATTATGTAAACACAGACTTTTATTTTGGATGCGATTAATCGCAATTAATCTTTGCACAGCCCTATTATTAATATATAATTGCCACTCACTGTGAATAACCTAAGGCACTCCGGCCGACGGTGACGTCACACGCATACCCTCTATTTGCAACCACATGTCAACTTATTCTTCTAACCCGAATCCTGACCTAACAGCTAACGGGGATAGTTGACATGCAGTAAAGTGGACCATCGAAATAAAGTGCAACCCAACATCAAACGTTCAAAACTGTGCATTTTAATGTTTATTCTGGTGCAATGCCCTATAGAATTTTATTACAACTCTTTTGCTTGTTTTTATGACGTGAGGAAATTGTACACTAATTAACCGTCACCTTTGTCTTGATTTATAACAATAAAACGGACGGTTGCGAACCTCTGAGCTCATTCTAGTTTGCAATGTAAAGTTATTTTTCTTGATTTCTCTTGATGTATGGTGGGTCGTCTTGGCTGTGATCACGGCAGTTCTTCTTATCGCCGTGTTGGGGGGCTGTTTTCAGAGGTGATGTCATTTCTCCGGGAGACCAGTGTGGCCCTGGGAACCGTTCTACTGTTGCTTTATGGTGACATGAAGTCCTGATCCATTTCCTGTTTCCTGGCAGAGTAACTTGGCAGCGTCCGCAGCTTAAAACCGGCATTTAGTGTCAAGAGCAGCCTTAACAAAAACCTTGTTAGCTGCAAGTCAGGCACTAATTAACCGGCATTAATTTGGCCTGGCAAGGACACATCATTATAATACCCAAGAAAGGGAGGGGGACGGCAGACAGTGAAACACACCAGTGCGACACTTTCTCCAACAGACACGCATATCACGTCTCCAAGCAGTCATAATGTGGAGAACACTTGCATTCGCTGCTTTTTCTGGGAATAAGGAATCTTTGAAGAGTTTTATCAGGCCTCTGCACTCCTTCAGGCCCCGACACGTTAGGAAATGTAGGACTTGGCAAGTCGGAGCCTGCCGAGTGACTTATTGCAGGATTCAGTAGTGATAAATTCTCACTAATGGTTTCAGAGGTTGAAAAAGTGTTCGGCTTGAAGGGGGCATGAGGAGCGATATGAGAGGAATCAAATCTGTTTGTCTCAGAAATGTTGGGTTCACAGCTGTGTAAATGTCTGATTTCTATAAAATGATGGTCAGAATTTGATGGAACATGCTTTCAAGTCTAAATGGAAGAACGAATTGTTTTTGAATGGATCTTTAGAGCGAATGAATTGTTCCATGACTCAATTTATGAATGATGCACAATTTAAATGCACATTATTATTGTCTGTTTTTCTATAGATTGGTAGAAGTTAGTCTGAGAAGCTGAAATGCATAAAACGTGCATTTGGTGCTTAAAGGGATACTCCACTTTTTTTGGAAATAGGGTCATTTTACAGAGTTAAAAAGTTGAGTTTTACCGTTTTCGAATCCATTCAGCCGATTTCCTGATATTTAGAAGAATAACCAATGAAAATTTAAAGTCAATGAAAAGTCAATGAAAGTCTCATTGACTTTCATAGTAGGAAAAATATATACTATGTTAGTCAATGAGACCAGAAACTGTCTGGTTACTGATAGTCTTCTAAATATAAGAAAATCGGCTGAATGGATTCGAAAACGGTAAAACTCAACTGTTTAACTCTGGGGGAGTTATAAAATGAACCTATTTCCAAAAAAAGTGGAGTATCCCTTTAAAGGGATAGGTCACCTAAAAAAAAAAGAAAATCTGACATTTCTTTCTTTTTTCTGTGCACACATAAAAAATATATTTTGAGAAATGTCTCAAAATTTTGTCCCAAAACATAATCAAAATATCTTCTTTTTTCATTTTAGGGTTCATTTTATCCCTTTAAACGCTATTCTCGAGTCTCTTAGTAGATCTTGCAGATTTTTACATACCGTAGATAGTGAGACTTTCTTCATTCCAGGGCAGGCCTTTTTAAAATAACTGATATTGCAGGTTTTCACTCTGTAAAAGACAAAAAATAGACACCAACAAGCAATTAAAACACTTTATTCCACTAATCTGAATCTCATCCTGCACCGTTTGTGACATCAGTAATTCCCTAAATTATGCAACTTGTTATCATGCCAATGAAAATAGTTTTGAAGCACCACATGAGGTAGAAATAACTCCTTAAAGTAACATACATTTGGAGAAGCGAAGGTGTCGTCGAAGGCAGTCGTTGGCAGATGTCAGGGAAGGGAGTGTGGACTTCCCACGAAGCCTAAGTTTGGGCACTTTGCCACCAGCGAAGATTATCTTTCCCCTCTCACAATGGCGAGAGCAATTCCTCCTCACTGAGAGATGTTAATTTAAAACGTCCTGTGCCGGGAGAATGCCCCACACTAGATTACAGCAATAAAGCTGATGTTCAACTTTTATTTCTTCTGAAAAGAAAAGTGGTGCAGTTACAGATTTTACAAATACACACACGCACAATGTGTCTTTCAGCGGCAGCATCGGGGATATTTCGCATGAATGATGGTGTGGGTCACTGCCATGGGGGGTCTTTCCCCGGAACAATGCCAACAATTAAAATCAGATGTTACACAAGCACTTCGGCCTTGGGAAATCACACAGTACAAGCCCAAAGCGTTTGGGAAATACACACGGTGGTGCTCTTAGCGGACAAGCACTATTATGTTGCTGTGTTTGCGCATGTCGTTTTCAGCGTATCCGTTAAAGGCAGTCTGAATGCTCACAACAGTAACTGATGTTACTCTGTTGATCCAGTGCCAGGGGGTCATCACGTATTTATTCTAGATGGTTCCCCCTACATCAACACTTGGCTACAGGGTGACTTTCTCTCCATCGTATGTTCAAGACGTCTGATGTCTATGCAAAGGCCACTATAAACTAGCCTAATCTGTCATCAACAGTATGTTTTGTATGGATGGATGTACAGTATGTATCTATGTATGGATGTATGTATGTATGGATGAATATATGTATGGATGGATGTATGTATGTATAGATGTATGTATGGATGCATGGATGGATGTATGGATGTTTCTATCCATGCATGTATGTATGTATGGATGGATGGATGTATCTATGTATGGATGTATGCATGGATGAATGTATGTATGTATTTATAGTTGTTTGTATAGATGTAGGGATGGATGTATGGATGTATGTATGGATGCATGGATGAATGTATGTATGGATGTATGGATGTTTTTATGCATGCATGCATGCATGTATGTATGGATGGATGTATGTATGTATGGATGCATGGATGAATCTATGGATGGATGGATGGATGGATGTATGCATGGATGGATGGATGGATGGATCGAGTCATGGATGGATGGATGGTTCTATGCATGCATGCATGTATGGATGTTTCTTTGCATGGATGAATCTATGCATGGATGGATGGATGGATGGATGGACATACATACATACATACATACATACATATTAAAATCATAAAATCCAGTACTCACCGGGTTGCTGAAGCACCTCCTCATTCGCATTTTCATATGAATTCATACAATGTGGATTGTAAAAATTTTTTTATATATAATATGATATTTAGAAATATCCGCCCTTAACCCTACCTCAAAACAACCTTTACTCGGGCAACAAATGAGATAATTCGCCAACAATTCACCACTACATAAAATTCTTACGAGCCGCTATAAGATTTTGTCGGAATTAAGTCCTCTGCTCCATTCCCTTTATTCTTGTTGGTATATTTGCATAATTAGACTCAACTAATCATATTGGTTCCTGTTGCTCATGTCTACAGATAGCCACAAATAATTGACACAAATTCCAATAAATTCTGCCATCATCCACTGCAGTTCTCAAACATTGGCCTCTCTAAGCCTTACAAAACAATTTATCATTTTTTTTTCTCCGTTTCAAACTAATATTTCTCTAGCATCAGGCTATATATTGTGTGTGAGTCTCCAGTGAGCACCTTTTTTTCCCACAGAGCAACATCATCCCAGGAGGTAAATTGGCAGAAATCCTGTAATCCACTGGAGGGGGATGGCGGGTCCACAATTACAGCAGGACTACCTTGGGAACCGAAAGTTGGCGAAGGCCTCGCCGGGACCATTGGGCTGTCAGCACCAGGAGAAATTAACTGACATCAAACACCGTACCTCACAAGCTTAGACATGTCCAGCACACAATCACACAAAGAGAGAGAGACATCAGACAGTGGAGGAGAATCAGAGAGAGAGAGGAAAAGACAGGGAGTTTAAACAAGGGAGAGAGAGAGAGGGGGGAACATAAGAAAGATAGACAGGAAAAGAGATGGAGATTAGAAAAGTGATAGAAAGAGAGGAGATTTGATAAATCTGATTAGATATGCTCTTTATAGGGGTGTTTGACCTCAATAACTATGGTTCGAGGCCCACCCAAAACGAAGGGTCTTAAAAAGTACATACTATTATGCATTATAATATATAGTTTTTTATGTTTTAGTCCCATTGCTGCTACACTATGTATGCACATATATATATATATATATATTACCCACCTGTCTGTCAATTATACTCTCTATATACTTATAAGTGTTTTCATATATTTTCCAATGTAATCTATTCCTGTTATGTACAGCTAAATGTATTTTCCTTTCATTATTTTTCCTTTCTCTAATTGGAAAATTTTGAACAAAGCCAGTTCCTTAATGACATCATCCAGGAAGTGACATCATTTTGGTGGGAAAAAACAGTCCATACATTTGTTTAACGTGTAACTTCACAAACTTAACGTTATCACATGCTAACACCAAAATTACAAAAGATCGTTAGCTTACCTTTCAGCTGAATTCGTCGGTGTCAGTCCCTCACTTAGCAATGAGCTCTTTATTTCCACCGTGATCAATAGAAACATTCCAACAATATTTTATTTAGTCATTGTGGCTTCCTCCACGATCTGCCACGCCGCCCTGCTTTCCATCCATTTATTTTTATGCGCATGTTGGGATATTGCAGTAAATGGAAACACAAGGATTGCCAGTCTAAAATGCCCGAGCCAAAGTCTGTCATCAAAATGGTAGGGCATAATAACCTCACAGAAATGTCCCAAACACCAGGCATCCGAGACCGAAGGTTTAGATAACAGCGTGCGTTTCGTCTGTAAGTCATTTATGATGTACGAGAAAAAGCCACATTGCAGCAACTTCCACTTTTATTACGGATATTTTGCTCCAATTTCCCAGGAAGTGACAATTTTGGGGATTTATTCGCAAATGAGTTATTCAACGTTCCAGTTTTGTGCGCAAGTTAAATTCGCAACTTTGGATTGAAACATAGCTAATGACAAAGTCTGCAGCTGTACTTGACAAAACCATCCAGCCGATGTGAAGGGCCAAGAAGCTGTCACTGCGCCGCAGGCTGCACCTAAAGCAAGAATCTGATTCATTAGGTAAACAGTCTGCCATTAAGGAAGGCAATTTCCCTGGCAGATTTGAGCTTAACAGCAAAGAAAGCATAAAGTGAAATATAAGAGCAAAGCGTTTTGATTTGGCACTACGGGAGGTTGCGGGTTAAAGAATGCGATGCACACGTTTCAATGATTTGTTTGTGAGTCTTTCCTGAACACAACAAAAGGGTTGCGGTGGAATATTTTGTGGAAAACGAATAATTGATTGCAAGCGTTTGCATCCCATCTGCACGTCTTTGGGATGTTTATTTACACAGCTGTAGTTTCAGATCATATTAATTCAAGTTTGTTGACATGTTTATTTACGTTGGCTTTCTTCTTTTTATTCGGAATCTATTCATTTGAATTCATTTTGTATATTTGTACAGATTTTGGACCGATCATTGATCATTCTCGGTTTGCTGTTTTAATTGGATGACACCTTCACTAACCCCCTAAACACCCTATGAAATCGATGCGTAGTGTAAACTCTAGTGTGTAGAGCAGATGCAGAGTTGCCATGGCATTTTTTGGCACACAAAAACAAAGCCGCCAGTTTGCCTGGTACAGTAGATGAGTTTCAGAAACGTTAGTTCGGTGTGATAATGCAGCTGGTCTATGTTAGGCCCAAAACGCAATATGGTTCAGCTCAACCCTATTTGTATTGGCCATTTCACGGCGTACCCTGTATACAATGTCAGGACAGACGGGCTGTTGACAGCCTGTTTATTTGGACAATGCACAGATGTAAGAACAACTCAGCAGATTCTCAACGCAGCCCTTAAAATGCGGTACTGTTTCTCTCTCTCTCTCAAGCCAGACAGAAAAACGTTAATTCAAAATCTGATTCACAGTTCAAGGGATAGTTCACCCAAAAAGGAAATTTCTGTCATTAATTACTCACCCTTATGTCGTTCCAAACCTGTAAGACTTACAGTTATTTTATGAAGACAAATGAGGATCTTTTTTTTTGATGAAATCTGAGACATTTCTATCACGGACTAGCACTACTGTTTTCAACATTGATAATATTAAAGGAGTAGTTCATTTTAAAAAAAAAATTTGGCTAATAATTTACTCACCCCCATGTCATCCAAGATGTTCTTCAGTCGAAAAGAAATTAAGGCTTTTGATGAAAACATTCCAGGATTTTTCTCCATATAATGGACTTCAATGGGGTCCAAACGGTTCAAGGTCCAAAACACAGTTTCAGTACAAACTGCAAACTGTTGAAAGGGCTTTAAATGATTCCAGACGATGAATAAGGGTCTTATCAAGCGAAACGATCGCTCATAACAAAGTTTAAGTTTATAAGCTCAAATGTTCGACTTGCTCTGTTCTGTGATGCACGTTCGTGACTCTCCTGTTCGAACTCGTTCATCAAAATGAATGAATCTTATTCGTTTGTTTCATTCGTTGAATGAACCAAATGACCCAGAAAAAGATTTGTTCATTTTGAAAAATATACATTCTTCAAAATATCCCTGATCTATTTAACAAAAGTAAATAATAGAGATTTGGACCAACCTGTGTGTGAGGTTTAGTCACCGCTTCTTCAGACTGCAGTGGCTAGCGCTTCTCGAACTGTAACAGGTGGTTCTTATATGGCCTTTGCCCTCTCTAATTATTCCAGAGCGCCGGGCTTGTACACCGTGCTGTAGTTCAGGGTCCTGCACCTGTCAGCTGGTTATTAACACCATGCATTTGCAGTGTTTCAGCAGTGTTTTACCGGCTGCTCCCACTGGCTCTGTGTTAGCCGTGCACATACGCGCCACTGACATCAATTAGCCTATTAAAAAAATCCAGAGCATGGCCAGGGGTCTAAATATAGCTCATCTGCACGTTAGCAAATGTATGTTCTGAAAAGGAAAGAAAGAGAGAATAACAATGCAATATCATCACTACACCACTAGAGTAACAAGTAAAATGATTCAGAACTGAATCAAGTAATATCCACATGATTGAACAAGGTTAAAGTCAACATAAAACTTGTCATTAAACAACATGCATTAACTATTGATCTGCAATAGCATGAAAATGGCTAATTAGCAAATAAGGGCTGATATTTAGCCAAATTAATCGATATGAATCAAATTAAGCTTATGAATCTAATCACACCCCGTCCACAATTCTCACTCCAAGCTAAACTCAAAAGTTGGCAGCCCTTACATATTTTATTGAGAGATTATGTTTAAGACAAACATTTGTTTTCTTTGCAATATCATGCACACCAGGGACGTGAAATCTGATTTCATGTTGACTTTAAATAAAGCATGATACTGGCTCTATTGTGTTGTAAACTCAATGTATTCCAGATGCTTTCCAACACAGTCAAGCTGGCAATAATTCATAACAGCAATAAGAGTTAGTGACAGGTGCATATTTTCCATGTAATTGATAATAAACAGGTTTTCCTGCCTTTCACGGTTCGTTTCTTAGAGGGCATCCACACAGGTTGTGCCGATATTCATTCGGAGAGCTGTGGTTCACCAGATCTGCCT